TTTACCTCGACTTGAGACCAACTCGAGTTGCAACCAGAGTCACGGAACGCATTAAGTTCGTAACTAGAGGTACCACTGTATATCTGGAACTCTGATCTTGTCATTTACACTGAAGTTGGCGGGTTGCAAGCAACTGTATGTTGACTTGCAAAGTGTCTCTGGCTTAGAGAACCTGGCTTGCATGGAATAGCAGGAAAGTGTGTGGGGTAAAACTGTAGCATCCTGGCCAAAACGTACCAAAATTGTCCGTTACTCTCCTTACCATTAGCAGGGAATGTGTTGTGTGGCCCAATACAATTAAAGCTGGTCTCCATCTTCTCTATTTTAGTAAGAGCTGTCACATGAACACCACAACTGACCAATCCCACAGTGAGTGATGGAGGTGGGAATCGGTGATACAAAAATGCAATAATTAAATAAATACCAATCTTGTGATCACCATTCCATGATAAGATTGTTACTAGGAATGTAATAGGAATAAATGGGAAAGAATGTGAATGAAATGAAATGAAATGAAATGAAATGAAATGAAATGAAATGAAATGAAATGAAATGAGGGAGGGAGGGATTGGGAGGAAGGAAAAAATGATGGTGTTGATGAGATCTTCAAAAAGAGAGAGATTAGAAGTTGAAAGAACAAAAGGCATGGTATGAAGTGTTATATGAACGTGGTAGGAACAAGGATGGTTTGCAAAGGACAGAAAGCTATGGAGAGGGGCTGTGAATAGTGTTGGTGTAAATAAGAATTAATTATATTTCCTTTTCCCTTTTTTATCTCATGCCTCTAATCTTTTTTGGCATATTATTTCATACTCCTTTTCTGCACTTTGTACAACATTGCTGCCCCAAATGTGTTTGTATGTGTGTATAATATATATAATATTAATGAAATTAATATTAAAACATCTCCGAGATCATAGCATTGAAGACTACTTATGCAGGTAAGGAAATGTTGACAACTGAGAAACCAAGCTCAGAAAAGTCCAACTCTGAGCTATATATAGTCTCTACACTCACTAAGAGTTATGTGTAAAATTAAAGTTGCTCTATGCTGGTTAGCGCCAAGCTAACTAAAATATTTCACAGAATTTCTGGAAAATGTTCAGGCTTGGGTCTTGCCAAGCCTTCAGTGCTAAGCAAATATTTTGTTGTTGGGCAGCCATTAATAATGCCTTTTTAAAAATTATTTTGCAGAAATGGTAAAAGGAAGTTATTTTGTTCCATGAAATATATCTAGTCCCTTTCTAGATTTTGGTTCTTATCCATTATACAAGGAGATGTCGAGAAGAGGTCCCAATTTATATATTGAGATATTTTCTGGTGAAATGTGTGCAGTTGTTCACCCTGCTATATACAAAGCTAACTTATGCTGAGGTAGTCCACTAGTTTATCTCTGGTCCGTCACTGACCCTTTTGGGATCTTACCTCCCTTTCCAGAACAGCTCTGGCCCATTGTGCCAGGGATCTGAGATCTCTGTTGTCAACTTCACCTCTGAATGACATACTTTACAGAAAAGAACAAGGAACAACTGTGGTTTGTACCATTAGAATGGAAGTTTGGTTAGACACAGAGCTGCAAAGGTTCAGTGGACACAAACTGATTTGTGGAGCACAAGTTTATTTCTCCAGTGATTTACAGCAGAATCACCTTGTTGGGCTTCCAGAAAAAGCAGGATGATGCAAATGTCTTATGAATGGGTTTAAAATACTAGCATGTCCCCATTTGTTAATGGAAAAGACTCCATTCCACCACCAGAAAAATATGAAGTTTCCATTTGATAAAGAAACTTAAGCAAGGGTGTTGCAAAATACAGGCGTTATGTTCTGGAATAATAGTTGCTCATTTTGTAACTAAATTAAGGGCACTGATTTTGATTTAGCCTTGGATCAATTAAGGAAGGGCATTCGTGGAAAGAGATTCTCATTCTCTCCTATCCCCTGTAGCCACCTGCAACCTATAAAAAATGTCTCCCAACGGATGAGAGGGGACTTCTTACCAATGTGGTGCAGAACACCCAAACCTTTTGGGTATAGGAGGAGTCGACATTTTCCTCCTGCAAATTTCTTTCACTGAAGTTATGACTCTAGTCATTGTTTTGCTTGCAACATGTTCATAGCAACTGGAAGATCTTATTAATAATGTTTTTGTGTGGTCATTAAAGGAACTAATTGCATCTTTTGTTGGCATATGGCAGGCAGTTAAAAATATTAAGACCTTTCTAAGATGGCCAAGTATGAGAATATTGAGAAATGCCAACATTAGGCTACAGAGAGAATACTGTTTGCAACCAATGGAATGATATGTAGAACTTTGAATATACACAGAGTAAGAACCGAATATATACAGTATTAATGCTTTGTAACAGTTTGGTGGTTTTACACATTGATTGGAAAGCATGAAAACTGGGTTCAGATGGATAGCAGAAATATAAAATAGCTTATGATTTTCACACACATGGTGGCTGCAGATTCTCTTGGTACACATTTCCATGTTGTAACATCTGATATGAGGGTCCTATCCATGGCAGCACCCAGCATACTTCTTGACGCTTAGGGAATAGATTCATTCTAACATAATTGATAACTAAGTCAAAATATATAAAATAAAATAAAAATAAATGAAACATCTGTAAGAACCTAGAAGCCGTCTTCCTTACAGCCCTCCAGATGTTTTAATTATGGGGTTCCAAAACCCTGAAGGCCCTTTCCTACCTGATTTTGAAAGCCGGGGGAATCCTGCACTAGATTGCCAACGTTGCGTCACACAGAGAACGCTGTCCTTTGCGTACTCTGGTCCCAAGCTATTTAGGGCTGTAGAAGTCAAAACCAGATTTTTGAATGAAGTCCAGAGGAAAACCAGAAGTCAGTAGGGATCCTAATTAAGGGGTAAACTATATTTTTACTTGAAATGCATGACCTGCTAAGATTGCTAAAGTATATATTGGGAACATGATATGAAAATATGTCATATTTGAGGAAAAGTTGTATTAAAAAATAAAAGGAAATTTATAGCCAAATAGGATGTTTTGGATACATAGGATGAAAAGGGATATGTTGAAGGTAATTGTGTAAGTTCCATAGAAAATTATCTATCGTGGGAATCAATTATTGCAGGGGTTGTGCAATTATTCCCCAGCAGTACCTCAGTGCATATGGAGCCTGGGCATCTTTGAAAGCCCCAGTGATATCATGCACCTTATGATATCATTATGCAAATCACACATGAGGTCACTTGGCATCCTCTGTGGATGCCCGTGCCCAGAGGCGCAAACGTCGTCCCTGCCTACATTCTTCAAAGCAGATGTGTCTTTTACTGGTTTCATTGACCCACTTTCTGAAACGGGAAAATTGTCTAACAATAACCACCCAATTTAAAAAAAGAATCATTCCCATGTTTTTCTGGAACAGATGGATGACTGATAAGATCTGCAATCCAGGCTCAGTACGGAGAATCAGGCATTCTTGCAGAGAATAAATAGAGGCACAACGCCATCTTGCATTCAGCTACCAATCTGATGTTACAATATTAGATTCATCAATAGAAACTTCAGAGAAAGCTGGCAAAACTTGTAGAGTTAGCTAGGAAAACTTTGTCATGCTACAGTGATAACACAGAGTTGCTTGAACTTGGTCTGACAAATGCCTCAGACCTACCTGGTGTTTTTGCTAATACAGTAATTTTCCTAATACAAAGATTGCTACTGTCACACTGATTTCCCTCCAAGTCCCCATGGAGGAGAACTTCTCAGAGGCCTTGGAGCTTCTGGCAGCCAGGGACCAGGCCCAGCAAGACAAAG